CGGGAGCGCAGCCGCGGCCACAGGAGCAGCACCAGCCGCAAGCGTAGCCACCGCCGCAGTGGGCGCTCGCGCTCGCGCTCCGCCAGCCGGCAGCGGAGCACTTGGAACAGGTAATGAAAGGCAGGCCTCCCCGGCCCGGGAGCAGCCCCAGCTGCCCGCCCGCCCGCCGAGCCTCGGCGCCGAATGTACAAGGAGCCCAGCCCCGCGAAGGAAGGAAGACGCGCGGGCGGACAACGTGCCCCAAACTCACTTTTCCTGTCGTTGAGGACGGCGCATTTGGCGCTTCCTTCCCAGAAGTGTAGCGGTCAGTCAGTAGCTTTAGCTTTCCTCTGGAAAATTCTGATCCGATAGCTTTAACGTCACCAGTCCATCCTGAATCAGGACGAATGTGCAGACTGACGGTTTTGTCTCAGACATGCCGCGTAAATACACCGTTCCTACCAGGGTTTTTGTGTGTGTCCGGGACATGCACACAGCCGGCTGCAGGTGGGTGGCCGAAGACTGTGGACTGCGCAGTGCCACCTGGGGCGCTGAAGACAAAGTCTTTCCCTTGTGATTTTTTGTTTTTTGTTTTTTTTTTACATCTTAACTGATTAAAATACAGTTTGGGTAGAATGTGAAAAAAGAGGACACAGTGCTCTGGGCATGTGAAGTCGTGCATGGAGATGGTACAGGCCCTTACAATCAGCGGTTCAGATGTGCCCTTCTCCCAGTACCTCTCCACTGAGACGCGGGTACAGGATGCGCCGTCACTTCTAGAACATTCACTTTTTGCAAGTTCAAGTAATTCAGTGTTAACAAAAAAAAGTGGGTTAAAAGCTTTGGTTTCTAGTAAAGATTAGTGTGTGTGGTTTTTTCAAAGAAGCCCTTTTTGCTAAATTATTTTTACTCGAGGTGTTTCCAACAGATCTAAGGCTGCAAACTTGTTAAATTTTATAACCGTTTGCTTCTCAAAAAAGAAAAAAACGCGAAGCTCAGGAATACTTAAAAACGATTGTAACCTTCGCTGTTACGAAAGAGCCTGTCTATTCCAGTTTGCATTTTTATGGTGAAATAAAGTCTTTTTCCAATGAACCGAAGCTTTTCCGTATTTACTTTTTTAAAATGGGTTTTTATGTTCTTTGGGTTGTGTCTGAGTTATCTAGCGTTGCTGTGACAGAAACACCACAAGTGGGTGGCTTTAACAAAAAGAAATTTATTCTCTCACAGTCTAGTAGGTTAGAAGTCCAAACTGAGTGTGCTAGCTCCAGGGGAAGGCTTTTTCTCTCTGTCGGCTCCGGCGGAAGGTCCTTGTCTCTTCACACCTTCTCCTCGGCTCCTTGGGGATCTCCACATGGCATCTCTGTTCCCCATCTGTGCTTTTTTCCCCACCTAATCTGCTCAGTTTATATCTCAAAAGAGATTGATTTAAGATAACCCCTGCTCTAATCCTGCCTCATTAACGCAAAGAAAACCGATTCCCAAGTGGGGTTATGACCACAGGTACAGGAGTTGGGATTGACAGCACATATTTTTGGGGGACACAGTTCCACCCCTAACAGGTTGTGTTATCCAGCTGAGCATTCCCTAGGGTATTTGTAACTGATAGGAGTGACATCATTTATGTAGAACCACCAGGGACGTGATCGCAGCTGAGAGGCGACCATACAGTCCACAGCCCTGTCATAGGTAAAACAGCCCCCCTGGAGGGAACCCCAGGTCCGGAGAGGCAGTCTTCTTACAGTGTCTGAAAAGCCGTTTTTAAAGCCGATAAAGATGTGGAGAAGCTGGGACCCTTGTGCGCAGCTGGTGGGGATGGAAAATGGGACAGGCGCTGTGGAGGGTAGTGTGGGGGTTCTTCAAAAAGTTAAGCAGAATCGTCGTGTGACCCAGCAGTTCCACTCCTAGGTATACACCCAAGAAGCTCGAAGGCAGGGAGGGACTCAAGCAGATACTTGTTTGCCGGGGTTCACAGCAGCACTACGCACAACAGACAAAACGCAGAAACAGCCACGAAACCAAACCCAAAGCCACGCTGTTGAGTCGATTCGGACTCATAGTGACCCTCTAGGACAGAGTAGAACTGCCCCAGGGGGCTTCCAAGGAGCGGCTGGTGGATTCCAACTGCCAACGTTTTGGTTAGCAACCGAGCTCTTAACCACGGGGCCACCAGGGTCCCAAAACAACCATACGACCCAGCCGTTGCGCCCCTCGGTACATACCCAAGAGAATTGAAAGCAGAGAGTCACAGACACGGGTGCACTGATGCTCACAGCACTAGTTTTCACGATAGACACAAGGTGGAAACCGCGCAAGTGCCTGTCAGCAGATGACCGAGTAAACGCCACGTGGTCCATCCGCACGATGGAGCATTACTCGGCCGGGGAGAGCAATGAAGTCCTGACGCGGACGGCGTGGATGGACCTTGACAACGGGACACTGAGTGAAATAAGTCTGATCCCACTTACGTGAAATATCTAGACTACGGGAATGCATGGCGCCCAAAGTTTGTTAGCGGTTAGCAGGTGCTCAGGGTGGGGAATTAAAATGCAGAAGCAGATGAAGAAACCCTTTTTCATCTCGCACCCGCAGGCCCCAGCAGCAGGTGCTGCGCACAGAGACTGCAGTTGCTTCCCTGGCTTCTGTTTAATGACAACGTCTCGGCACGCTGAGGCCTCGTCCCCAGCTTTTTTCCATCTCTGAGCTAATGTTGCGATTCTGAAAATGGCAAGCGGAAGTGGGCATGACAGACAAGACACTTTTCTTTCCCTGAAATGGCTTTTTGTGGTGTCCAAGTGAGGTCGCTGGGTGGAGCAAATGGTTTACGCTCTCCATACCTGATAGTTAAGAAGCCCTGGTTGCACCATGGTTAAAGCTGGGCTGCTAACTGAAAGGTGGGTGGTTCGAACCCACCCAACGGCTCCGTGGGAGAAAAGACCTGGCGATCTGCTCCCGTCAAGATGACAGCCTAGAAAACCCTATGGGGCAGTTCTACTCTGTCACATGGGGTCGCTGTGAGTCGAAATCAACTTGCCGGCACTCGACGACAACGAGCCACGCAGTGGTGTTGCAGAAGAAAGGCCTGGCGATCTGCTTCCACAAAGATTACAGCCGAGAAAACCCTGTGTAACACATGGGGTCTTCTCTGTCGCATAGGGTCGCCCTGAGTTGGAATCGACTGGACGGCACCTAACAACAGCAACGTAGTTTTTTTTGAGGTTCCTGGGGGTAGTTGGGAGCTCTGGGGGCCCAGTGGTTTAGAGCTCTGGCTGCTAACCAAAAGGTCGGCAGTTCAAATCCACCAGGTGCTCCTTGGAAACCCCATGGGGCAGTTCCACTCTGTCCTATAGCTTTGCTATGAGTTGGAATCGACTCGACAGCAGTGGGTGAGTTGCTTTTCTTTAGGGGAATGAAAAAGATTTGGAAATGGTGGTGAGGGTTGCACACTATGGTGAAAGTAATTAATGTCACTGAGTCCTATACCTAAAAAATGGTTAAAATGGCAAAACGCTTGTCATACATGTACTGTCCGGTAAAACCTGCCAGAGCCAGAACTCAGCAGGACGGCCTCGTTTTCCCGGGTCTTGAAAGTTTTCCTCCTCTGACGGGGTGTGGTCTTCCCACTTTTCTCTGGCTCTCTGTTAGTGGGAGTGTTTGTGTCTTCCTCCTCTGACAGGGTTCCCCAGTATACACGTTCCACTTCTCGCAGGTTGTACTGTGTATTTGTGGTTGTCAGGTGCTGTGGAGTCAGTTCCGACTCATAGTGACCCCGTGCACAACAGACGGAAATGCTGCCCGTCCCGCCCCGTCCTCACAATCCTTGTTATGCTTGAGCCCATTGCTGCAGCCACTGTGTCAATCCCATCTCTTTTTTTTTTTTTAACTGTATATTACTGGCCATTAAAAAACAAAAGGGTCAGTGTGAAATAATAAGACACGGCAGACCACACTGTAGTACTCCGCTTTGATGAAGTGTTCCGAGTAGGCAGATGCAGAGACAGAAAGTGAGTTAGTGGTAACCAGGGGCTGGGAACAGAGCGGAGTGGGGGTTACTGCTCCAGGGGCAATGCGTTCCCGTTGGGGTGATGAGAAAGTGTGCGAAGTGGAGCGCGGTGATGGTAGCACCGCGTGGTGAGTGTAATTATGTCCCTGAATTGTACACTTAGAAATGGCTGACATGACAAATCTGTTGTGACATAGAAGATTTGCTGCCGTTGAGTCGATTCCGACTCATAGCGACCCCATAGGACAGAGTAGAACTGCCCCAAGGGCTTCCAAGGAGCAGCTGGTGGATTCAAAGTGCTGACCCTTTTTGTTAGCAGCTGATCTCTTAACCACTGCGCCACTAGGGTCCCTGTGTAACTCTAGGATGACCTTAATTCCTGAACAAATAGGCAAAGTGGATTCCCCCCCCAAAAAAAACAAAAAAAACCCCAGCAAACCAAACCCTTTGCCGTCAAGTTGATTCCGACTCATAGCACTCTGTAGGACAGAGTAGAACTGCCCCGTAGGGTTTCCAAGGAGCGGCTGGTGGAGTCGAACTGCCGACCTTTTGGTTCGCAGCCGAGCTCTTCACCACCGCGCCACCAGGGCCCCTGTTGTTTTGTGTGTTTTACCACAATTAAACACAAGAAGGAGGGTCAGACTAGTCCCGGAGCAGGCCAGGGAAGGCTCTCTGGAAGCAAGACGATGGGCTGCACATCCGGGCAGTGGAGGAGCTAGTGGGAGGCAGGAAGGAGGGGCGGGTTCGATGTGTTCCAGGGTCAGGCAGACATCGGTGTGCCTGGGGAGGAGGTTCCAGAAGGTGGGGAGAGACCCATCGAGCACGTTCACTTCCAGCATGGCGGGAAGCCAGTGGAGGGTGTTGCCACCATAGGACTGGGGAGTGCGGGCCCACAGGGCAGGGTTGGGAGCCGGCATCCACAGCGTCCACCAGTGACGTGCCGGTGGACCGGACGGGCGGGCGAGGGGCCACAGGGAAGACATGGTGGGTGAGTGGGGGGTTAGGGCTGGGTTGGACGTGGATGTCTAGGAAAACCAGAGTGTAGATGCCACGCTGCAGGGGACCCGATGCTCTGCAAACATCTTGTCTTCCCTGCTCAAGTCAAGCGGTGGGAATCCCGTGAGAAATTCCAGGGGTGCTTTTCACTGGGACCCGGGCCATTTACTCCCATCCTCTCCGGCCTCGGAGTCTCTAGGTGGTGCAACCGAGAGGTTGGAGGTTCAAGTCCACCCAGAGGAGCCTTGGAAGAAAGCCCTGACGATCTCCTTCCAAAAAATCAGCCAATGAAAACCCCGTGGAGCGCAGTTCTACTCGGACACGTATGGGGGCGCTGTGAGTTGGGGAGCTGACTCCACCGAAACTGGTTTGTAAGCAGCACCTGGGGTGTGGCAAATGGTAATGCGCTTATCTGCTGAGAGTTTGGAGGTTCAAGTCCACCCAGAGGCGCCTCGGAAGAAAGGCCTGGCGATCTACTTCTGAAACTCAGCCAGTGAAAACTCCGTGGATCGCAACAGAACACTGTCTGATAGAGAGCTGAAGGATGAGCCCCCCAGGTTGGAAGGCTCAAATTACACAGTGGCTGCAGCCAGGGGCTCGAGCAGGACGATTGTGAAGATGGCACAGGACCGGGCAGCGTTTTGTGCTGCTGTGTGTGGGGTCGCCGTGAGTCAGAGCCGACTTGGCAGCAGCCAACAAGAGCGACAGTGACGAATGACGTCGGTCAGCTCTTCCTGTGCTCATGGGCCCTTTGTATTTCTTTTTCAGAGAAAAGACTCTCCGAGTGTTTTGCCCCTTTTTTAAAGTGGGTTGTCTGTCTTTGCTCGTTTCTAAGGAACTTTTGTAAGCATGCATCATTTGCTGGTTTACACCCGGCCGAAGAGGATTCCCTTCTGTCGCGGGGCGTCTGACCTTCTGTGGCAGGAGATGTGAACAGTTTAGGGGCTGAATCGGCGGCTTTGACGCTGTTGACAGGACGGTGAGCAGGTTTCGCCCACCCCAGGTTAAATTCTATTACTCATCTTCAGGACCGTGCTTCTGAAAAGGTTAATCCAAGCATCCACCTTGACTGAAGCTCATCCTTCAGGCTCCAATCTCAGCAGCCCATCCCCACCGTTCTCAGCACTCAATCTCATTATGTAAGTAATCCCCTTAGCTGCCGATCCAGGAGAACTCCTGGGGCAGCTGGGGATTTGGCTTTGGAATCTAATCAAATCAATGTGACAGGGTGCCTGTCCCTTCTGTGTTCCTGTCAGCCTCCCCCGAGGACCTTCACGGCACCTGCTTTCAGAAGGTGTCCGTATTTCTCTGCAAGCACATGCCTCTGGGGACCTTATTCCACCCACGGTGGTGGTTGTCGCTCTCAGCTGCCGTGGGGTCGCTTTCCACCCTTGGCCGCCCCACGTGTGCAGAGTAGAACTGTGCTCCACAGGGTTTTTTCCCAAGGCATGACCTTTCAGAAGCAGGTCGCCAGGCCTTTCTTCCGAGACGCCTCTGGGTAGGTTCAAACCGCCAACCTTTGGGTTAGTAGCCGAGCGCTTAACCACTTACACCACCTGGGGGCTGCTGACACCAGTTGCTGAGGACTTGATTCTGACTCTTGGCGACCCCGGGCGTCACAGACTAGAACTGTGCCCCATAGGGTTTTCAAGGCTGTGATCTTTATGGAAGCAGGTCACCAGGCCTTCCTTTCGAGGTGCCGCTCAGGCTTCTCCCGTCCCCCCAGCCAACAACCAGAAAAGACAGACCCCGCTGTGTAAGACGGTGTCGAGAGTCGGCACTGTGAACGTTCCCTTCTCTCCTAAACAAGAGCCCCAACATTCCTGCTCCAGCCTCCCCGGGGTCCTGGGGGGAGGGAGGCAGACGTGGCAGAGAACAAGGGTGGGGCCCCTGCTGTGGCTGCATCTGGGTTTGCTCGGGTAAAGGTGAGCATCGGATGTGGGGGACGGAGCAGGGGGCCCCAGGAGGCTGGGTTACAGGAGCACCTGGCGCAGGGGGGTGTTGGGCTCCCCCCAGCCTCGTGGTGGATGGCATCTTGGACCATTGTCTAAGTTCTGACTGTCAGGACCGGGGGCAGGGGCTAAGGAAGGGCTGATCGGGCGGTGGGGAGATGGGATGGTGGGGAGGGAAAGAGCGAGAATAGGGAGAGAGGGAGGTGGGGAAGAGAAGAGAGAGAAACGCACACACAGAGAGATAGTGATGGATGGGGGAGAGGGAGGAGAGGAGACAGGGCGAGAAAGAGAGAAAGAGATGGGGAGAGAGGACAGAGAGATAGACAAGAGAGAGAGACAGAAAGGGAGGGAGAGAGAAGAAGGGGGAAGAAGAGGAGGAAGGAACGGGGTAAAGAGGAAAGAGAAGAGAGAGAAACAGAGAGAGATGGAGGAAGAGGGGAGAGAGAAAACAGGACAGAGAGACAGAGAGATTGTTGTTGTTAGGTCCGTCGAGTCAGTCCCGACTCATAGTGACCCCGTGTACAACAGAATGAAACACTGCCTGGTCCCGCACCATCCTCACAATCCTTGTTACACTTGAGCCCATTGTGGCAGCCACTGTGTCAGTCCATCTCATTGAAGGTCTTCCTGTCTTTCGCTGACCCTCTACTTTACCAAGCATGATGTCCTTCTCCAGAGACTGGTCCCTCCTGATAACATGTTCAAAATACGTGAGACAAAGTCTCACCATCCTCACTTCTAAGGAGCATCCTGGCTGTACTTCTTCCAAGACAGATTTGTTTGTTCTTCTGGCAGTCCACGGTATACCCAGCATTCTTTGCCAACACCAATTCAAATGCTTATATTTAGTTGCTGGAAAAAATCCTATTGAAAATGACTTCAACGTTCAAGTCAGCGGAATGACTGGGGACATATTTGCTTGCTGTTGCATATGCGGAGTCCCGGTGGTGCAGTGGTTAAGGACTCGGCTGCTAATGAAAAGGTCGGCAGTTCAAATCCACCAGCCGCTCCTTGGAAACCCTATGGGGCAGTTGTACTCTGTCCTAGCGGGTTGCTATGAGTCGGAATCGACTCAGTGGCAATAGTTTTGTTTTTTTTTATAATTGCATGTGCATATGAAAGCTGGGCAGTGAGAAAGGAAGACTGAAGAAGTGATGTATTTAAATTATGATGTTGGTGAAGAGTACTGAATAGACCATGGACTGCCAGAAGAAGGAACAAATCTGTCTTGGAAGAAGTACAGCCAAAATGCTCCTTAGAAGCGAGGATGGTGAGACTTTGTCTCATGTACTTTGGACATGTTATCCGAAGGGACCAGACCATGGAGAAGGACATCATGTTTGATAAAGTAGAGGATCACTGAAAAAGAGGAAGACCCTCACTGAGATGGATTGACACAGTGGCTGCAACAATGGGCTCACACATAGCAACGATTGTGAGGATGGCGAGGGACCAGGCAGTGTTTCGTTCTGTTAGTTCATAGGGTCACTGTGAGTCGGATCCAGCTCGACAGCAATGAACGATAACGCTGAAAACAAAGCAGAGAATCCCTTCACACGGCTTTTGTAGGAGCCCTGAGCCATGAAACTCAGCCCACCCCTCCCTCCTTCTCTCTGCATTCCAAGGTGACCAGTCCAATGCATAAAATGATTAATCAATTCCAGTGATGGGTGAGCATATTGGCTTTGGATCTGTCCCATCGCTGACGGTGTTATTTTAAGACTGTGAGCTCCTAAAGGCCAGGAGGATGAGGGGAAAGCCAGGGTGTACCCCCAAGGATTGCAATCCCCTTAATAAGGTTAATGGCGCTTTCTGGAATGACTTGCTCTGGGGTCACTGGTGGGCAGCAGCACTGAGCAGTTGGCCGGCACTCAGCTTGCTAGCAGACGAGGAACTCTTAAAGCAAGGACCCCCAACCCCAAGGCTGGTGCCGAGAGAATGGACTCTTCGGGGGACCCTGCCTACCGCCTGCTGAACGACTATTCCAACGGCTTCATGGTCTCCCAGGTAGGGATGCTGGGGGTCCTCAGCACTGAAGGTGCCGGGGTTCATGGCTCGGGTGTTTCCATGTTGACTCAGAGCAGAGGGCTGGCCATTTTTCACCATAGACCCCCATGGCAATAAGTCAACACCATGGACCCTATCTTAGAACCGTGTGTTTTTGTTTTAATAATGTATTTGTTGTTGTTGTTGAGAATGTACGCAGCAGAACAAACACCAATTCAGCCATTTCTACGCGTACGATTCAGTGATGCTGATTCCATTCAGAATGGTGTTCTCATTTATTTTATATTTTTAAATTTATTTTGTTGTTGTTGAAAATACACCCAGCAAAATATACAACAATTCAACAATGTCTTCACGTACAATTCGGTGACATTGATTACATTCAGAATGCTGTTTTCATGTATTTATTTTTTGAATTTATTTTGTTGTTGTTGTTGAGAATATACCCAGCAAAACAAACACCCGTTTAACAGTTTCTACATGTACAATTCAGTGACACTGATTACATTCTTTATGGCGGCAGACTGCCACATCTTTCTCCTTCGGGGCGGCTGGTAGGTTCCAACAGCAGACCTTTTGGTGATCAGCTGAACGATTAACCACTGTGCCTAAGGGTTAGGATTCCAACATGTGTTCTCGGGGGGACACAATTCTATTGTAACAGGGAAATGGTGACCATGTGTGCATCTAGTAGTGGGTCTGAAACTGCCAGAATGTTAAAGAAAACTATTGTGTGCTAGCAGGATTTTGATACTCAGGACCGTCCCCCCCGAGGGAGGTTCCCATCTGAGGGCCGTGCCCCCGTCCCTCTGAGCGAGGCTCCCATCTGAGGGCCGTCCCTCTGTCCTCCTGTCCCCCCTGAGCAAGGCTCCTGTCTGAGGGCCATCCCCCCTAGCAAGGCTCCCATCTGAGGGCCGTCCCCCTGTGCCCCTGTCCCCCCCGAGCAAGGCTCCCATCTGAGGGCCATCCCCCGCCCCCCCAGAGAGGTTCCCATCTGTGAGCTGTCCCTTCATTTCCCTGCTGCTCTGAGGTCCTCTTCACTGCCTGCGAGCTGGGTGTGTTTGACCTCCTGGCCGAGGCCCGGGAGCCCCTGGGCTCAGAGGTGGTTGCTGCACATCTGGGCACCAGCCCCCATGGAGCGGATCTTCTCCTGGACGCCTGTGCATCCCTGGAGCTGCTGACCGTGGACACAAGGGGAGAAACAGGTGAGGGTGCTTTGCATTGAAGGAGGTATTTCAACTGCGTACCGTTAGCACCCATTTTCTGTAAAGGTCCAGAGACTCAGTATTTTCTGCCTTGCAGTCCATTCAGTCCATCGCAACAACTCGACTCTTCCCTCGTAGCTCGAAAGCAGCCAGAAACATCACGTAAACGAGTGTGCGAGACTGTGTTCCAAATAAAACTTTATTTACAAACACAAGCGGTGGGCCAGGAGTGGTGCACAAGCTGGAGCTTTCTGCCCTGTGTTCTAGAGGTTTGTACCTGCTGATGTGTGCACAGGCAATCTCAATGAAGCATCCGATGAAAAAGACAAAAACGAGGGCAAGGAAATCAGAATGGAGTCATTTTTCATCAAATTGTTGTTGTTGGGTGTGGTGGAGTCAATTCCGACTCAAAACGACCCCATGTGATGGAGTAGAATTGCCCTATAGGGTTTCCTAGGCTGTAATCTTTACAGGAGCAGATCGCCAGGTCTTTCTCCCAAGGAGCCGCTGGTAGGTTCGAACTGCGGACCTTTTGGTTAGCAGCCGGGAGCTTAACCATTGTACCGCTAAGTTAATTCAATTAAAGGGTTGTGAGTCATTATGCAAATAAATACGTTTTTATTTCAGTATTGGAAGGGTCTTTCTTGTATTGAACATGGCGGGAGTAGATGGAACGGGAGTGGTTTTTTTTTAACGTTCTTACTTTACAAAATTCAAAATCGTCAACCCTACATGAATCACCCAAATCATTTTTGCCCCACCCGCTGCCTCTGCTAAACAGACCGCCCCGTGAGATTTGCAAAGACGCTGGCTCCCTGGGTGGGAAGCCCGCCTGTAGGCACACGGCCCTTCCCAGAGGGGAACCTAGTTAAGTCACCGTGTTGCCAATGGCAGTCGGGGAACCTGACTCCCTCCTCCTTGCCTTTGCGTCTTTCCCCAGCTTTCTATCAGAACACGGAGCTCTCCAGAACCTTCCTCACCAGGGCCAGCCCCAAGTCCCAGCACAACATGCTGCTCTACCTGTCCAGGACGACCTACCTGTGCTGGGGCCACTTGGCCGCCGCCGTGAGGTAGGTGCCGGGCTTCAGCGTATTGTTGGTGTCCCAGGGCTCCGTGGTGGCGGGCTGAGAGGGGTCCAGTGGACCAAACACTGGTCGCCTGTAGAACTGACCACCATACTGCTAAGTCTGGAAACCCAGAGCCCACCTGAAATCACCTGGTAGACTGGCAGCACTCACTCGTGTATCTGGTTCCCGGTGACACGAGGTCCCATATGCTTCCCTGGTCACCAGGGGTGTTGTCTGGACCAGGAAAGAGGCCCAGCAAGGAGGGTGGTGAGGATGGTGTGAGACAAGCCTGGGTGCTGGCCGGGAAGGTCACTGCTTTGCTCCACACTAGGGTTTCTCAGCCTCAGCTCTGTGGACATCTGGGCTGGGTCATCCTCTGTGGTGGGGGCCGTCCTGTGCACTGTAGGGTGTCCAGCAGCATCCCTGGTCTCCACCCCTGAGTCATTCTCTGTGGTGGGGCCATCCTGTATACTGTAGGGTGTTTCGCAGCATCCCTGGTCTCCACCCACTAGTCATTGTCTGTGGTGGGGGCCATCCTGTGCACTGTAGGGTGTTGAGCAGCATCCCTGGTCTCCACCCACTAGTCATTGTCTGTGGTGGGGGCCGTCCTATACACCGTAGGGTGTCTAGCAGCATCCCTGGTCTCCACCC